TCGATTTTGTGGACTTTCTCACATTAAAAAAATGTTTTTTTATTTTTTTTGATTTAAAAAATAAATACTTACTTAAATAGTAAAGAAATGCTTATTTTGCTCATATGTATAGGTAGGTCTATGGTAGACCTTAGGTCCGCCATAGAATTTGCCTTAAAGAAATAAGAAAATTGGAAAATATTAGGAAAAATAAAAGTTTTAAAATAAATTTTATATTCTTTAAATTTCATATTTTTTTTAAACATAATATATACTCCCCTCATTTCACTTTTTTACCTTTTATTTGTCTCTATGTCACACCATTTTTATTTTAAATTAAACTATATTTAGCATTTCCTAATTTTTTTTTTAAATTTTAACATCAATATCATGGTAGAATTATCCGTTCCTTAATTTACATGTCGTTAATCCATTTTATACAAATCGTAAGACTATAAGAAGCAATAATTTTTATTGATATTAATTGAAATAAAAAATTGACATAAAACTCATAAAAGTGTTCGCTATTTCCTATTTTGATAGTCCAAAAACTAATAAAATTATTTTTTTAAATTTTCAACACTTTTCTTAAAGAGTAAATTCCATAAAAGGTCCTCAGTTATAGGTCGTTTTACATATTTAGTCCCTACATATCAAATATTACGGAGTACTAATTTAGTTCCCAATTATTATAGTCATTTCCACGAATGGTCCTTTGTTAACATTTCCGTTAAGAACGTGAATAAAATTGTAAATTCACACTCCTTTCTCTCCTCAATTAAGCTTCTTCCCTCCCCTCGCACTCCTTTCCCAAACCCGTCGCAGAGTTTGAAGCTTTGAAACCAAAACCGAAATTATCAATCTTCTCTCAATTGTTTGTCTAACTGGTGGAACCCAAATTCGAAACCAGTAACCTTCATGGATGAGTTTTAATGTTTATTTTCTTTGCAATTTCTTGAGACTAACTGATAAAACGCATCCATAAAGCTTATTGGTTTGATTTTAGGTTCCACCAGGAAGACTAATAATTGAGAGAGGAATGATCATTTTAGTTTTGGGTTTAGAGCTTCAAACTTAGCGACGAGTTTTGGAAAGAGTACGAGAGGAGGGAGGAAGCTTAATTGAGGAGAGAGAGGAGTGTGAATTTACAATTTTATCCACGTTCTTAACGGAAATATTAACAAAGGACCATTCGTGGAAATGAATATACTAATTGGGGACTAAATTAGTAATATTTGATATGTAGGGACTAAATATATAAAACGACCTATAACTGGGGACCTTTTATGGAATTTACTCTTTCTTAAACTTTTTAATAGTCATATATAGAAATTTTTTATAGGATTAAACATTTTCAGTGTACATGGCATGTTATCTACTCATAACATTTAGAGTAGAACATTTTCGATCTTTATCATGATATTCGTGATAGGTCCAAAGGTAGTTGCATAATGAACGATTCTTATGCATTCCCTACATTGAGGTATATCAAGTTTCTGAAAGACATAGACCTTTGGATTACGGGTAAGTATTTGAATCAACAACATTGAATCTACAAATAACTTGCCCTTATATATAGACCTAATAACTCCATTTCATCTATCCAATAGATTCAATATCTAGTGCGTATTTGTTTTTATTTAAAGAATTCTAGTCATCTCCCCATGGATGTTTGAAGTAGAAATATCAAAGTTATGATGTATATCTCATACATACCTTATGGAAAAACATAACGCTCCCACTAACCTTATAGCCATTGATGCTCATAAGATTGGTCAATGACTCGTCTCATGCTATGAGCCAAAAGCCGAATCGTGTTCAGATAGACCACATCTATACTTGTGTTATTTGAGCAATCTCGAAGCACAACATATTGTATCTCTTGCTCATGTTCCATTCTTAGAAAGGCAATGTCCTTTTGTTCTTGAACTCTTTCAAGATCTATCTTCCTCCCACTAACTTTCAGGGAGAGGAATTTCTTCTCTAAGAAAAACTCTATAACAATCAACAACACTTTGTTCTCTAATATGTGATAGAACAGAATTGGCATTTTAGCTTGTGAGACTTCTAAACGCCTCATTATGCAACTCTTTAAGTAGGACATTTAAGGCATAGCCCTCTTATTAATGTCCTTTGAATGGAACTAGGTTAATAGCATAAGTTGAAAAATGAATATGCCTATAAAGATTTAGTAGATTATCATGACTTATCATAGTGGAGCAAAGAAGGATTATATCCTAAGCTCTTTATGGTTTTTCATTAAACTCTTGTTTTAGTATTCTCTTTCTCAATCATATTGAAGAATTTCATACTAAAACCTCTCTTGGTATTTATGTTATAGTCTCGTACGTTCAAGACGTATGATCTATTGGTCAACAAAATCATGAAGAACAACATTTGTCCCTTAACTGAAAACCGAAAGGCGTTCTTGTCAAAATAAGACTCATAGATGATTGTTTCACTTGTTGTATGTACATTACAAACAATTCTCTAATTGTAGCACCACTTCAATAGATAATTTTGAGGCACAAGGCCAAAAATCCAACACTTGGTCCAACTTGTGCTTCAACTATTTTTCTTTGGTTAATATTCTAAAATTATCATGACAAAATGTTCTACTCTAAATGTTAAGTTTTTAGATTGTTTATAATGATTTAGAAGAATGTCATGTAAACAAAATATTTGATACAAATTATTTACTTTTTCCCCCAATTTTTAAATAGGGATTTTATTTTGGTTTATGATGTCTGACTGAACTTATTTTCAAAAATTTATAACAGAAAATTGGGCTAGAGAGTGTGTGTGTGTATACATACATACATACATACATACATACATATACACACACACGTGTATGTGTGTGTGTGTGTGTGTGTGTGTGTATATATATATATATATATATATATATATAGGCCGGTTTCTGTGAGAATGAACCTTGGTGAAAGAAATGAGAATGAATGTTAGCCTTTTATTTGATCAATCGTGCGGTTGAGCCTAAGAAAAATTTAGGCCCATCACACGGTAAGTAAAATTCATATTCCATTAATTTAGGAGAAATTGTAGGGAGTAAGGACATAATTGTAAACCCACCATTCTTAGCCACATCACCCATGTTCCAGCATTAAAAAATATTCATGTTTCTAGCCACTTTTCTATTTAATCTCATTTTGATTTGTTGTCTTCCATTAAAAAATTTCTAAATTCAATTTACTTAAATTTTTTTAAAAAAAGTTTGAAAACAAATTTTATTGTTTCAAATTCAATTTACTACGTGGAAGATTAAAATCCTATCTACTTTCCAAAATTATAATTGTAACGAGAATGCACTGTGATGGTCGAAATATGCATTGTTGTTTGCTCTTTGAATTTATTCTATTATTTGTGGATTAGTAAATTATGACACTTGAGAGAGCTTGAATGCGATGGAAAAGTTTGAGAATGCATTGATTTCATGTTGTGAGACTGAATGTATTGTGATGCTCCACATATGCAATCTCTTTTGCCATATTGTGCTCACACTGCATAGAGATAAGCTTTTTTTAATTTTAGAAGTGTTTGGGCTATTGATTAGTTTGTGGATTTCAATTTATGACGCTTGATTGTCTTTCTTGTGCTATACCTCAATGTATAAATGCATTACCTTCAGGATGCATTATCTTGTTCCAAAGAATGCATAGTAAGAGAAACAAAATACCAATTTGTGGGATGTAACATATTAAGAATTAAGGATCCCACTCCTACACCTATAGTCCCCAACCTACACCAGCAAATAATTGTTATGCATAGCCAAAACAAGCTAAATTACATATTCAAAATATAAGCAAATAAACCTGATGGACAATAAATCCACCAAATGATCCGATTCACGAAGCGGATCGTAAGAACAAAATTAAGAACGAGAATTCGAGAATTGGGTATGTATTATTAGCTTGATCTAGCTTGAATTTCCTCCTTTTTGGGTCTCATCTATTTATACATGAGCTATATGCACTTAAGGTAACGCATAATCGATGAGTCTATCCCGTTAAGGGCGCGATCCCCTTTTTCCGGCTCTGTAACGGCCAATTTGCTCCGTCTCCTTCTCCGGACCGGCTCTACCAGCTACGTTTGGTCTAAAGTCAACCGGGCCTGGCTCCATGGGCCGGCCCAGACCTGAGTATTTTCCGAGTGTCTGACCCGAAGTAGTGTAAATGGTTCAGTTGGGCCGCCCACTGGGTATCGGCCCATCATAAGCCCCCCAACTCCTCATTCTTCAGCTGGGCCAAGTGGAAGAATGGGGAGTTTGCAAAGTCCACGTGGGCGCTCCAGCGGGAATCCGGGCCATTCCTTGGGTTCCGCGTGACGTCTGGGCACGATCTCCACAAATAGGTAATCATGGCCCGCTGATTCGCCTCCCTGCTGTCAGTTAAAAAAAACCACCGCTAGACGCCATCTTTTCCCTTCGCCTTCTTCACCATTATCCGTCTGCAATTCCGCTGCTTCCCAACCCGTTCTTCTTTCTTTCCAGGTCAGTTCCTTTTCTCGCTGCCATGATTGTTTCAGATTCCGATTCGGCTACCCCATCGTCCAATTCTCGCCAAGCCGATCAATCGGCCTCTGGCCGTAACCCCGGCCGCACTCCATCACCCCAGCCGTCACCGTCGGCCGTTCCTGGCCACAAACGGCGCCGATTGAGGAAGCAATTCCCTTCCTCAACTCCGGTGGATGAGGGGTCGAGGGTTGGATTGGACGAGAACATCATGGCGCTGTGCCATTGTCAAATCACCGACCGGGGGTTCGCCGATGCTACTGACATGGTTGGCCCCTCCATTGAGGTCATGAGACCTACCAGTACTCAAACTGCTCTAGACGCACCCTCGGGGTTCTTCACGGTCCATCTGGCGTCTTTGAAGAAGGGGCTGCGCTTTCCACTCCACCCGTTGTTGGTCGAATACCTCAACGAGGTGGACCTTCTTCCGTGCCAACTGGT